TTTCGTCCCGCCCGCGCCGTTTCATGGAAGTGACCCCGCAGTCGGTGGCACGTACACCTCGCTCCCTTCGTATTTAGGTCGCAAGCCACGCTCTCTCGCCGCCCTGTGTCGAACCGCGCAACGTTGGATACGAGCCTTGTTCCAAATTTAGTGTCGGGCACGGTCTCGAAAGGCTTCCACCCCCTCCGACCAAGATTTTTGGCGCACGTAAAAGATTCTGAGAACGGAACCGCGCGTTGTCGAAACCGTCCGCGTCGTCGCTTGTTATTGCATGCTTACTTCGCCACCTCGCACGCATACGCACAGGACGCGGTGATGTTCGTCGATTCACTGGAACCGACTGCGGTTTGGTGGCGAAACCTGTCACAATGTCCGCTCGTAATCCGTGCTCGATAATCAACAGACGAACGAGATATGTACGATACCGTGGAGTCTTACGAATACGATGTAATAGGGAGACGTAAGCGTTACGTCAAAGAAAGAATGGGTACCTAGTTACCCTAAGAAAAAGGTAGACGTCAACGCGCAGACGTTCCCTGGAGAATCGACTACTCTCGAATTTATTGTTCGAGCGAAGGTCAGTTGTGGAACGAAAGTGGGTGCTTCGAACGCCCACCCGACAACCCACTCGAATAAAATAACTTGGATCGCCGCGAAGGGCATCGCTGGGTATGCGCTGCGCTCTGAGTTACGCGCATCTTGCAAATCGGCTTGCGTCGAAGCAGTCCTATCTTACCTGGGCGTAAATCTTTGAGCTAACGCGAGTTTAAACACGATCGATTCCCTTATCTCGAGATTGCGCCCAATCAGAGTTGTATATCTCGGCTCGTAAAGACTCATTTACGATCCGACACTTTTTTTTTATTGCTTTCTCGCAGAGAATTACGAGAGAAAAGCCTGTTAGATAATGATAGTCTTTCGAAGCTAACAGACTGATATTTTCTCAACCCTAACGTTGTTTCTATAATTACCAGAAAAAAAAAAGCAGCGAATGAGAAGAGTCGAAATAGAATTCGTGCGACTGTATCATTGAAACAGGCGCTAGTAATACTGTAACCGTCGCACGAACTTGTTCGCCGAGTCGAATGTTTACCGTACGATCCAAGAACTCGGAAGAACACGGGATCGACTGTCGTCATGGGTGGGAAGGTGGTGGGAATAATCGAAGTTGAAACTGGGTCGCATTCGACTTGATTGGCACAACGTAGTCTCTATCCTTGCCTCGTAGATCATGCTTTTTTTCAGTTTTCTTTCGTTTCTTATCCACTGTCTGGCAAAGGAGCTGCCAGTTCTTATCGGAATCTTCTCTAGGTCGCGACACACCATTGGAGAGAAAATAGAGGAGATTAAATTTATGCGACGATGCACACTCCGACGCTGCGACATGTCCAAGTGCGATTCTACATAAATATTCCAGACGTTTTAGATTATTCTTATTATAGTGTAATCGTTCGTTGATATCCTAGACATCTTTGTTTAATATTAGTTGGTTTTAACACTTTTATTGATTAACTCTTGCTGCTGGTCCAACCGCCCTCTATGTCAACTTCCTGGATCATCCTCTGTAATACGAAACAATGCGAATGGTGGCCGGAACGTTTCGCGCGAAATACGAGAATCGCGGTGCACGGTTGCACCTAATCCAGTTACCGAAGTGAGCTGACACGCAGAAACAAGCCCGATGTGGTCGCTCTCAAACCATCGACGGTCATCCCATCAGCAAGCTGCCACCGATAGCTGCCAGCGTTAACTTTGTTCCATTTTCTCCTCTTCGGTGTAACGTCGAAAATTGAGCGTTACCCAGCATTGTTCAAATATCTCGCTATAGAAAAACGTGCTGCGTTATCTACAGAATATTTACGTTCGCAAAAATAGAACACTTGACGTAATAAAAAGTTGCGCATCGCTCGTACGATCTATTTCCAGGCACACGGTTAGATACTCTCGCGCGATCATATCCAGAAGTACGCGCAAGTACTCTTCTTCGAATAAAACGTGAAACACATCTCCGAGTTGTTCTGTCTACCAGCAGTAATGGAACGTTTCCTTGTTTCGTCGGCGGGCTAAATTGGTCAATTCGCGAATAAACATTTCCCCGAAGTAATTGTGGCGGCTCGAAACTCGCACTCGAAGAGGAACCCGTCGTTTAGCAAGTTAAACGTCCCATGGACGCGTGCCGGCGTCGGTCAACTTGCGCGTATACTTACTCGAAGGTTAATTGGAAAGCGGAGTTGCTTGTAATTTACCGTTTATCCGAGGGAATGACGCGTCGTCGGCTATCGCGGTGTCTACGGTTTAATGTACGTGTACTTTTATACGCTTTTTGCGCACATTTTTTTTCCACTCGACAACCGTGTTTCGTTCTGTACGCCCCTGCTCTAGTTACGGAGGACTCGACGCGACGCGACGCGACGCGACGGTGCGGTCGAAGCGAATAGTTGTTCGGGGTCAAACGGTCGTTCGGGCAATCGAAGTTGCTTTCGAGATTTAGGTCAAATTACGCCCAGAAGCGAATCCGCTGCAGTTCCTGGTACCTTGAACCCGCCGTGGAAACGAACCGACGACACCGACCGCCTTCGTTCACCTTTTGTTCCGCTATCGACTGGAGCGAAGACTGTTCGAAGACTGTTTTGATACTCGCGCGATAGGTGTATCTGCGTATGAATTGATACTCGAGTCACGGACGTACTCTTTCGATTGCTCGCCTCAAACGATTGGTAAACAAGGTCTTTGCTTACTGGTGGTAAACATACTTTAAGTAGCTATTTTCCGATTCGAAATAAGTAAGAAATCGCAAATCACGAAATTGCGGTTGACGCAAGTAACATGTACGTTCCATCCTTCTTGTTCGTTTCCTTTCTCATCGCGATCCATCTAGAGTGCAAAGGCTAGATTCATGCCTGCAAGCTAGAGAAAGCGACTTCGAGTACGTATGCAAAGATTCGAGTTGTGCATCGAGGTTACGAGTCTTGTCTTTCGATTCCATCGTCGGCGGCTAGCTCGCATTCAGAAAAGTTTTCTCCTCTCATGGACGGGATCGAAGTCGATTATTGGAAGTTGTGGAAGTAGGTCTGCCATAATTTCACGGCACCGATCGACCTATAACGCTCGCGGCATTGCTATCCTTGGGGACCGTTGATTTTGCCCATTGAAAAGGCACACGTAAACGAGTATTTCTTTCCGTCGTAATACGTACGTTCGAATCGATTCCGTGGTGTTTATACGAAGTAGATGAATAAATTTCGCTCAGTTTCGCGCACTCGTTGCTAAACGAATCTATATAAGATTTAGCGCGCGTATGCCTAAACGCGTTGAAAGTCGCACACGAGCAGAATTTCGTCCGTAGCGCGGCGACCAGTTGTCGATCAGGCTGTTTCGTAAGAAACACCTGCGAGTCATTATCCCTCGCCTACCTTGGCTTTCCCCGGCAATAACGCGATTCGGTTTGATCTCCTCGTAGCGATCAATGATATGAAGTAACCGCGCGTATCTATGCGCAAATCCAAGTATTTTCACCACCTCTCAACATATAAAAAACTCTCGGTCCTATATTTCATACTACAATTAATTCTATTAAGGAATGCACAATAAGCTGAACTGCGGGATTAAATATAATTACTGTACAAATTTCTTTACCTGTATTATTAAAAACTTGCGTGACTCGTGCTCGGGATATCGATCGAGTTTCTCGTGAACTGGATCAACAAGTGGTAATTTTTGTCATTAGTAATCTTCGAGATCACCTTTGGGAGGACTCGCTTTTCTTATTCCATCCGCTTCGGTGGACAAACATTCTTTTTGCGCAATGGAAAACATTGTACATATACGAGGTTTCGAAACTATATATAGTTCGCATAAATGCGAAGAGCTCGCGTTCCTTTTGTTGAAAATGCTCGAAGAGAAACACGTTCCGGTTCCCGAATAAACATTTTCCATTTTCTGGTAAACTTGGACCGTGTGAGGCTGGAAATAGCAACAGAAGCGACGTCCACGAAGCATGGACGCCTCGACACAGTTCACAATGTACAGGGTGTATGTTTTGTCAACCTATTCTGTACTCGATCGATCTTTATATATGGGGCATCGATGTCATTACATTTCCGACAAAATATAGGGAAGATAGATTTTGCTATATTTTCAAGCAACAACAATTAGCAGATCTGAAACTATATTTAAAGAATGAACTCTTTTTTGTCTATTAAAAGTTTAGCAACAACGTTGCCAGCTTTTTCCTACCATGCTCGTAAGTTTGATCACATGACTCCACTGTTTCAACATTCTGGCTGGCTGAATTTCCAACCGAGATTGATCGTCCATCTCTGTTGCCTTGTTTACACGATCCTTCGTTCGAAAATATCTATATATATATTTATTTAATTTACTTCCGTCCAATTTAACTCCACGTACCGTATCTGCTGCAATCATTGGATTTCGTTTCTCTCTCTGCATCCTCTCGCCGCACTTCCAAATTTCAAGCTTCATTTGCTCGCGTGTCCTCCTACTATTTTCGCTTCGTCCCTTACGATATACATTGGTTTGTCATCTTCCAACGGACGAAATTCCATGCAAATTTAACTTTACATTCGCGTGTGAATGCTGTTGCGTTCCAATAATTCTCAAGGCTCTGATATTTCGCGAGCGGCGCCTGTCGCAAATAATAACGCGCAGTTTCGCCAAACATTGACTTCTGTCGAGCGTTCGAGAGGATATTTCGGTTCCGAGGGCACGATCGAAGCACCGATAAATAAACGAACGAATGGAATAACGTGCGTCCAAAGCATGGTGGTATCGTTGAACCGCTCGCGCGAGTTGCAGCGTTCGACGCCGTCGTCTGACATTTTCGAATAATACATATTTGGCAGCGCGTGCATGAATAAACCACACGGGGGATGATACTACTACCGATGATCGATTTCCCGTGCGAGGGAACTCGGTCAACGGGAAAATCCGTCGTTCGACTAGCCTATGCACACGGCTCATCGTCCCGTTTTATGTTGCAGTGGTCTATTGCGACTATACCGCCTCCGGCAGGTCACTGCAATTTCTCGAGGAGTACATCGCGAAGGAGGTGCTGCCATGTCTGGGCGACACTCGGACGTCCACGTCTATCTGCAGCCTGCAGTCCTCCCTGTTTAGGTAAGTCCATCTCCGAAACACCGTTGCGAGAAAAATGAACTCCCATCGATCTACAAAGGGCGTCGTCTCTCGATAACTAAATAAAATTACCATGCGAGGTGGTCCAAGGATACCTCATTCGCTTGGGCTACCCCTGGCCATTTTCTCGTAAGTAAATGCAGTGACACGGCCCGCGAGTAGCCTCTTAAGAACGATGCCCCACTATAGCGGCTTACTGCTTACACGTAATTCGCGTTGACCTTTGCCGTACAGATAAACAGCCTCGGGCAAAATTCAGCCGTGCCTAAGAGGTGAACGCTGAATACATTCTTCTCGCGTATGAACCGATTCCCCTGTTTCCCTCTCGGAATTGCTGGGCCATCGAGCGACCGAGGTCCCAAACAGAACACGAGTCGTTAGCCAGTCGGTTCCCAGAACCAATTCCAGTTACGGCTTGCCCTGTATTAATCGTCCAATTGAAAGTGCGAGGTACCGTCACATTTTTTCAGTTTAGAACTTTGCTACAGAAAATGTTCAAAGGATAAACGAAGGACGAATACGCTAATTCTATACAATTTCTGAGCTGTTTAACACGATAACATAGAATTTTAATCGCCAAGTTTCAATTTACTAGCAGGATTATCTATCGTCACCTTCTCCTCTGATTACCAAGTAACCCCGCTTAATGAGACACCTACGTTGACTGTAATTACCGGAAGAATGCAAACTGGAGCGTGGGAAATAGTAAACAAAAGGGAGAGTGAACTCCGATGAAGAGGGCGAGCCAGCCATCTGTGTTATTCTCTCGCTAATTTTTACTTAACGAAAACCAACGAACTGTACCTAAACGTGTTAGCCGTTGATCGTATATACGGAAGGTCGGAAAATATCAAACGATAGCAGGGACATTTTAAATTCCTAATTATCGATTTCCCATGCCCCAGTGACGTTGGTGTGCGTGCACGATTCCGGTTGACGTACATTACCCGCGACGAACGCGATTCGTTTTCTGCGCCACTCGAGCGTTGCCTTTCTATTTCTCCCGGAGTAGGAATTATATTTCCAGTTACGCGTTACGTCGCTGGTTTCCTGTAGTAGCGTAACGCGGACGGTTCGCAGCCCACCAACTGGGACAATCTATGAGTGAGAATTCTCGTTGTCTCGAAATCTTATGCAGTCGAACGCAGGGGTGGTTCCGGTCGGCGTCCCGCTCCCTGACGCTGACGTCCCAGATCAATATCCACCGGCTCGAGCCTCGAGCTCTTATCCACTGGACGGCCAATCGAGAAAGACAGCGGGAATCAGGCGTGTCGAGTTTCCGAATGTTTTTTTTTGTTCTTTTAGGATACACCTTGAGAACAGGTCGCGTTCGCGAAACGTTTATTCGAAGAGATTCGCATCCTTCTCGAATAAAGCGGAAAAAAAGAACGTCCGCATCTTTAATGGTTTCGGAGTTAAAACGGTGGTATGGTCCGGGCGGGAGTGCGGGCACCGACCTTGCTCAACTCCGACGATTGGACGGCAGGCCATGTTTTCGATGCAGTCGTTGACGCTTTTGGAATGATCGCTCTTCTTGGTCGCGCGTGGTACCGTGTCGTTGTCGCGACTTGGATCGCCCGAGGATAAATTGACCTCGACGCGACGGAGCGACCTCAAAGCCACCGAGAAACGCGCGGGAATCTCTCCTACGCCCTCGGTAGATCTGCCAGCCGCGTTTTTACGATCGTTAATGTCGACGGAAGGACAAGTCGATATATCCTGACGGCATATGTTGCAGACACGAAGCCAGAGACATCGTCAGACACGCGGTGGGGGCTGGCGAACAGGATGCGGTGCTGTTCACGGGTCAAGGCACGGCTGCTGCCCTTCGCACGCTGTTGCGACACCTCGATCTCACCAAATCCACCGTCGTCTTTGTGGGACCGTTCGAGCATTACGCGAATCTGCGACCTTGGCGTGAGCACGATGTCAGGGTAAGATATATATATATATATATATATATTTACGAACCCGTTGAAAGCTACACGGAAGAATTGTTCAGTGGTGAGTCAAAAGTATTCTCGTCGCTGAAAGCGTCGGTGTAGCATTACGCGGACTGGAACGATCCTCGACCGTTTTATAGAGAACATTTCCTTTTCACCGAGATGTTTGAACGATCGTTACAGATAGTACGAGTGTCCGAAACCCGAGAGGGTTTCTTGGATCTGAACGATCTCGAGCGGTGTTTAATGAAAGTGCGAGCGGAGGGTGTTGCGCAAATGATCGGATGCTTCAGCGCTGCCAGTTGCATCACCGGGGTTTTGGCAGATGACGTCGCCACAACTCTCCTACTGCATCAATATGGAGCACTCAGCGTTTGGGATTACACAACCGCAGGTAACGATAAGCGAATGAAAGCCGATACCGGTCTGAACAATACGAGACTATTCCCCTTTACGACAAAAATACACACGTAAATGGCTTGGTCTTTAACGGACTGGAATAAACAAAGATATATTATCGTTCTAATCCGTATAATACGGAAACGTAGAACGTTTTATCGAGTGGTAGCACTCGTTCGTATTCTAAATTTATCTTTATCTTTCAGCTCCATACGTTCCGATCGATATGAATCCCCACTTGCCCGGTGTCGGAGAGACAGCTGTTCACAAAGACGCGATTATTTTCGCCGGGCACAAGTTCATCGGGGGAGTTCAATCGCCCGGCGTACTCGTGACCAAACGGTTTCTCTTGAAAGATAAATTTGGCATGGAAGACATGAGGGACTCCCATTACTATCACTGGGACTTGGAGCTTCGCGAGGAAAGCGGCACGGCCGGTGTCGTTGAGACCATCAGATGCGGACTCGCGGTTCAGCTGAAGGAGAACGTTACACCGCGAGCTATCGTCGCTCGTCAAGATAAGATATCCAGGTACGATTTTACGTAGGCGATCCAAAAATAATGCTCTATAATTAATTTCGTAGCGATTCACGATCAAAATTCCGGAGATCGACGGATCGTAACGCTTTGTCTGAAACGTGCTCGCTTCCTGTTTCGTTTAGGCAAGTGTTGGCTCACGTGCGCACGATTCCGGAACTGATTCTGCTCGGTAGCGGCTCGCAGAATGTTAAGAGGCTTCCCATATTTTCGTTCATGGTGCGTCACCCGCGGGGCACGTTTCTTCATCACAACTTCGTGTGCGCCGTTTTAAACGACGTCTTCGGGATCCAGGCGCGCAGCGGGTGCGCTTGCGCGGGTCGTTACGCTCACGACCTGATGGGAATCGACCAAGAACTCGCCAAGCAGTACGAGACGGTTGTAGCGGCAGGGTACGAAATTGAGAAAAATTTGTTAGCTGTACGGTTGCATGAAACGGTTGCCGTTGACTCGTATTCCTAACGAAACTATGGTTCGTTTCAGCGCGCAGAACAGCCTGAACGGAGAGACGAGCACCGAAGGACTGAGGCCAGGATTCGCGAAACTCTCGTTCCCGTACTTCATGTCGGAAGCGGAGGTCGCCTTTACATTGGAGGCTTTGAAGATGGTGGCCACGGAAGGCTGGAAATTGCTGCCTCAGTACGTGATGAATCCGGACACGGGAGAGTGGAGACATCACACAAACAGCGTGTTCAAAGAGCGAAAGTGGCTCGGGTCGATCCGATATACCGATGGGAAAATGAACGCTTCCGAGAGACGAGTATCCGGATCGGGCATCGTTCCGCAGAACTACGGCGATTGTTTGCAGACCGCGCGGAACATCTTTAACCGCGCCAGGAAGATGGCGCAGAGGTATCCCCTCCGTATAGACCGTAGCTACATCTTCACGTCGGAATGGATGGAAGCTCTCCGGTGGTTCATGATGCCCTGCGAGGCACAGTATCTACTTCTGGGCAACTCGCAGAACGTGAAGCAAGACGTGCCTTTCAGTCCGACGCTGTCGTGGAACAAGCAGGGCCATCAGACGCCGACTACCACCCACGACAGCCTGGTGAACTGCTTAGCCTTGGCCAACAGTATCCGGCGGCTGAACAGCGACATTCCTCACACGGGAAACGCTCCGATCTCGGTTACGTCGCCCAGACATCGTAGCCTTCCCGCGTTGAGCACCGCCAGGAGGACACTGCTGAGCACGGTGGATTCCCAGGCGTCGTTCTCGAGCTCCGGTAGCGGAAACGAAGAGGAACGATCGGCGAACACCGAGTCTATCGGAGGCGAGAGGTCACCGGCTACTTGCCCGAGTTCACCGATGCCCGTGAGATTCGCCGTTGGCGAGGCGGTGACGCCTTCGACTCTCGGCACGATATCTCGCACGGACAACAGACCGATCAAAGAGCAAAGAGATCTCGTGGACGCTACCAACGCTGGCCGTGCCAGATGTAACTCCCTCGGTAGTGCCGGCGGCGGAGAGAACGCTTCGGGTAATCGCAAGGTGGTGTCTTCGTCGTCCTCGCCCGTACCGCCGTTGCCTTTGAGTCCGCAGACTTTGACCAGCTTGGGCTTGAGCGGAAGCAGCGGCAACACGACGAAACACAGACGACACCACTGTAGCTGCAGCAGTCAAACCGAATTGAACTCTTTGGAGCTGGACAACGGAAGCCCGAATCACTCGATCCTATCCTTGAACTACCACATCGCGGCCTCGCCTCCGTCTTCGTACTCGTCCGTCGGCGATTACACGGAGAAGTTGGTGGCCGGGGGAAGAGCGTCGCCGATTTTCACCAACTGCGGGCAAAGATCGGAGGACGATCTGAGCGCGTATGTCAAAGAGGTGACGAAGGAACTGGCGACGGAGATCAAGTCGGAGATTCGCGAGGTGATTTCGAAGGTCGATGACGCCCTGTCCGAGTCCAACACGTCGGAGAACACCCCGCAGCATCACTCGCGGAACATCGGTGCCATCGGGCAACTGTCGGTGGAAGACAAGCAGGTCAGACACGATTCGTTTACGGCGAGTGACATCGCGGAGTACTTGATGGAGTTCTCCAAGGAGATGGCCAGCGAGGTCAAGTCCGAAATCAGATGTATGGTGAACGCGGTGGACGGACTTCACAGACACTCCCCGGACGCGTCCGCCTCGGATGTCTCCTCGAACGGTTGCGGTTCTCCAGACAGAGGGAGGATCGTTCAACCATCTGCGTCGCCCAGGCTTTCGAGCACAAGGCGAAGCGGACCGATAGAGATCACGGGGAAGGTCGGCGAGCTGACGCAACAGGAGAGCAAGATGTCCAGCGAGTGTTCCTCCGACGAGACTGTGATATACGTGATGAAACCGCCCGAGAACGAGCAGATGGTTAGCGGTCATTGTCAGTCGAAAACCGACGACGAGGTGGTGGTGCACGACCTCGACGACGACCTCAACGATGACGACACTCGCGAACGCGGCGGCCTGGACATCGGCGACGCGCGAAAAATTCTACCCAAGATCTATTCGGCGGTGAACTCGGTCAGTTCTCAAGACAGCGGCATCAACTTATCGTTCCACGAGAGCGACAAATCCCTAGACTCTGTGGACCTGAAGCGTAGCAGTAGCGCTGAGTCGAATTCTACGAACAGCTACGTTCGTAAGCCGAGAGCCTCGTCCATGAGCGCTCTGTCCAACAAATCCACTTGCAAGCAACAGGTACGCCAGAACGACGACTTCTCGGAGGACGAAGAATGCTCGAGCGATCTGAAGGAGGAGGAGGACCAAGCGGCGGTGTTCGAATCGAAGGATGGCAAGGCAGAAGCGTCTAGCGCGCAGTGGCACTGTCCGTCGAAGAACGTTTGGAAACCAGCGGTGGAAGCTATGCAGGAATTCGACATGATCCGGGACAACGACAGAGTGCTAGTTTGCTTGTCGACCAACGGTAAGGACTCTTTGTCCCTGTTGCACACGTTGCACCAGTACAGATTCTACGTGAGATCGAAAGGCGTGGACTTCGAGATCGGCGCTGCCTCGGTGAACGCAAATGGATCGGATCCCATAGAGATGATGAGTTACTTGAAGGCACTCGACGTTCCTTATTTCTACGAGGAGCTGCAAGCCGCTGAGACGAAACACGTCGGCGGCGAGAATCGCTCGGAAGATCCCCTGGACGGCAGCGGTGCGTGCAGCTTTTGCAATCGCACGATCAGAGCAAAATTATACTCGGTCGCCAAGCGGCACAATTACAACGTGTTGGCTATCGGCCAGCACCTCGACGACCTCACCGAGGGTTTCCTCGACTCAGTTTTTCACGCCGGCAAACTGAGAACCATGAAAGCCCATTACTACGTCCGTCGTCACGAGCTCAGGGTCGTCAGACCGTTCGTCTACGTTCGAGAGAAGTCGCTGAGGCAATTTGCCGAGAGCAAGAAGCTGTTGGCTTTGCGGGAAACAAGCCCGTGCGACCTTCCCGAGGTAAGTTTGTTATTTATATCTATAACGGTTACAGTAGCGCGCGCGTCTTTAATTAGACGCGATCGATAGTTGGCGCATTACTCTCGATCCCATCGCACTTGACCCGTACGGCCTGCGTGCGGAAAAATGCATAAAATAGAAAATACTACTTAACATTTCGTTGCAGAGACGGAATCAAAGCAAAGAGCTGATCGTCCAGCAGGACCGCGGTCATCCTCGTCTCTCTTGGTCCTTGAGATCGGCTCTGCGACCATTGATAGACGCCCACGGACGACGAATCGACGCGGACGTTGTCTGCGGGAACAGCGGCGGCGTTGGGAACGGTTCCAGTAGTTCCAGCGCGAGCAGCAGCAGCAGCTCTAATAGCGGGGGCAACAATCAACAAAAGAGACAACGAAAGTTGAAGATCAACTCCCTGGTGACTGGCTCTGCGGTCCAGCTGCAAACGCAGAAACAAGATGGCGACGAGGAGACAGACGAGGAACCGGTCCTTTGAGGGAGACCCGTCGCGAGATGTGATTTCAATCGTTCTTCGATCTCATCCGCGCACCACCGTCAAAAATTACCTTTGCCTGCCTTCTCCGTGGTCAGGAGAAGACGATTACGATTCGCGGCCGGCGTCGCCACCGCGAACGTTCAGGACCCGGTGGAGGAATGCTAAGAGATGGTAGCTGAATTGCGCGTGGATTCCATGCATCGACCCCTTTACCGAACCGCTGATTTCGTCAGTGGCGTTGGTTTGACAGTTTTAGACGGTCGATGCCTGCCAACGAGCGCAAGCATTCACCGGACGTTTCAAGATTGTGAACCGCGACACTCGCGACAGTTCCTGGATATTTTGGATTTCGTGCCGGTCAAGACGTTTCGCGAGAGGACGTTGATGAAGTTAGGGAGACTTGTTGGAACAACGGATGCAACGACGGAACGATGTTTTTGTCTTTCAACCAAGTGGTCTATGTTACCGCGTCTTTGCGATCCATCCGTATCCAACGGTAATGCTTCAAACTATTTAAAACGTTGTGCGCGGTTAAATGTTTACTTACCTATGGACACTTAGCGTTAATAACCACAGAATGTTGAGACTTCGGTTGTACTTTTCGAGGTAAGAGTACGCAGACTTGGAAGCGTTGTCCAATCGAATCGAGGACCATCGGTTCGATGTTCGGGAGACCTTTGGATATTGGCGACCGTGCGAAACCAACGACGAGAACCTAACGACTCGGCAAGCGGAAACATCGACTTGGGAGATCTGCCGCCAATCACCTCGTCGAGGTGAACTCTTCCATCTCTTAGTTAGTCGAGTCGTTTCTTTCGCTTGCCGAAACTTAGGAAGCCGTTCTTGGATCGTTCTTTGTGTTGTTCATTGCCCGTCGTACCCAGCGATCGGTATACCGGTAGACTCGATGACACGGCTGAACTGACAAAATAAGCGGATCGAGACGCTTACGTTTCGCTGGTACGCGAGCAAACGCGAGGAACGCAGCGATTTGAGAAGCGCCAAAACCTCGACTGCTCAAAGGACTGCCACGCGGTTCAATGGACACTTAATTTTTTATATAATTGTGATTTGATAAATCGCGAATACGTGTCCCGCTTCGACGATAGTTTAGGGTTACTACGATGTTAAGATACAAAATTTTTGTAAACCGTAAACGTCGCCAGACTATGGTCGAGACGAGTCCCCTTTTCGAACATTTTTTGATTATCGGAAGCGGCTGAAATTTCCTAAGAACGAGGGGAGAGAGGAAGACGCGCGCGAGTTCCTTTATCGTTGTCGAATCGATAAAGCGTACATTTTTTTTGCGGTCAAGAAAAATGTCACACTTGACAGTTTCGAGAACGTTAAACGCGAAGAGGAAAAGCCGTGCGATTACCGACCTCGAAGAGCAAAAAACCAATCGACGGAGGATTTGTTAAAATTGTCTGGTGTTCCGTACGGCGCGGTGGATGAAGAAGATATTGAGAGGTGAAGGTTTTGACAAATTCTCAGCCGTACGTACTTCGATTGCACGCGCACAAAAACGCGCGCGCCGGCGTGCGCGCACAACTCGTAAATACGTGTACATAAAATATGCTTCTGACGAGTAAACCGAAGGAACGTGGTATATCATTAAACGAAAGCTTTTTCCTCTTAACTGGTACATACATATACATATACATATACATTATATATACATATATCGCCTTGTTCGATATCATTGGCGGATCATATTTTTTGACTATTGTATAGCCTTTTTTTCGTCGGTGAAAAAGAACGACGGTACTACGCGCGATACTTTCGACTCCGACGCAAGCAAGGAAAACATTTTGAAACGCATCCGCTTGTCATTGGGCCGATGAACTGGGACACGGAACGAAACGTTCCGGTCGCGATTCAATTTTTCGACCACGTGAAAAAGAAAATGCCAGTTAACGGTCAAAGCTGGATAGCATAGGGAAATATAAAATGTAAGACAGTCGGACGCTCGTGACCAAATTCGAGAGAGTCGCGGACGGTCTGCGTAGGCGTGACGGTCCATAACATCGGCTCGATACTTAACGAACGTCTTACGTTTTCATTTTTTGTATGTTTTCGTTAGCTGTACGCTCGCTACTATTAGAATTAACGAAGCAAGGCTCGTACCGTAGGGCGCCATTGTGGAAGATACGCAGCCGTAGATTTTTCGTGCGCCTTTTGCGTCGTACCGTTTTCCTTTTTTAAGAGCCGTTCCGTTATCGTTCGCGGAACGGAACGCATGTCGCATACGAACGAATACGGTACAACAATTACAACATAAACGGCAACAATAACGAGAAACGAAAAATGGAAGTCTTGATCTATATGGATTTTCGCGGATAGATATTACCATATTTTCCGAGAGTTACGAGAGGATGTTGTTACTGTAAAGATATGTAAGTTTATTTATCGCTAATAAAAATGAACGTTTAAGAAAAACAACCGACTCTCGTGCGAGTATCCTCTTTGGATCCATGCTCGTTCCTTCTCCTTTTATCGAGAGTTCGCGTACGATTTGGAAACGTGCGACGATTGGACCGGGAACGGTAAGGAATGACGTACCACGGGAGAAACGTTCGTTTATTAGATTTATTAGACCCTTTAAAATATTTTAAACAGCGTGCGGCTTTTGTTATTTGGCGTAACAGTGAAATATCGTTTAATAAGGTACACAGTACGAAGCTCGAGGTGAGCAAAGCGATCGATATCAATTTAAAATTCCATTGTAGCTTCCCTCGAACGAGGTTTCAAAGCCCCGTTTGTGTTTTCAGGAGCAACGAGGGAGGGACGTTTGCGTCGCATTCCATCGAGAGATTTTGAAATTACAAGCGTGAGTGCGTCGATCGTCGAAAAACTTTGTTACGTCCCTGTATCGCGATGGGGACGCGTTGGTGGTAGCTTTCAGTCCAGCCTCGTCGATGTTGCGATGCGATCGATTTCGGTTCGCTGAGGTGCTCGTGTTGTTCTTACGGTTACTTTAGGTGGAATACAATGCGATCTAGATTAGAGAAGAGTAAAATCGAAAAATCCACATATCTTACGAGAAGAAATAGATTGCGATCGAGTCGCGTGTACATATATGTATATCGTCGAACGACGAAGACGTCTCGACGATCGAGAAGCAGTGAATCGAGAAACGATACTCGTTCGGAGTCGATCGATTAATCGATAAACGTTCCGTTTCGTCGAGACCAACTTCGGTTCTTTTCACTCGCGGACCGCTTCTGCCACCCTCGCTGATTTCTCGCTTCTTATGCGGAAGAACCACGTAAGTCATCGAGCACTGGTTCCATGGAAGATTTACTGGAGATACTTTTCAGCACAGTTAACGCAGGAAGTTAGACGTCCGAGACTTCGCGAGACTTGCTGAGATTTCATGTTACGCGGAACGTTGCTTTCCGTTGTACTTTTGTGGAAAGCACATTTACGAAAAGAGATCGATACGAGTGTTATGCTTTCGATTCATGCTGGTTAAAGAATCTTAGAGAGTCGAAGGGATGCGATCCTGTCACGAATAAATTTGTTAGAGGGATTTCGTATCGGTTGTAGTTACGCTTCTCCATCGAGCAAGAGACTGGAAATTTTTATCGTATGCCAGTAATCGAGAGAATCGATAGTGTAGTTGAAATGCGATCGAGTAACATAAAATCACACAAGGCGTCGCGTCTTGCCTACGGATCTTACGGTTAGGTGCGATTTGGGCTCGTTGAAACGATCCTCTGACATTGACCAAAGGTAGCGTCACGCTTAGGTCAAAGCATCGGATTTAAAGTTGCACCGTGACCTCGTTGCGGTATCAGAGAGTGGTACACTCTGTTGGCTCGAATCACAACCATCTTCCGCGTCAGCGCGAATTCTGAATTTTCTCAATTTGTTCCGTTTTTACGCGATCAAGAGATATATCTTGGAAAAATGTAACGATTCGACTAGAAGTCGAGCGAAAGATTTTGTTCGCAACAAATTGCAACCGAGACGGTGAATGTTAGAGGAAAAATAGCGCGACGAACACGATCTTCAATCGCCGGTGGTTCGTCGTTAATTCGTTCTATCTAACACAGAGACGAGAATAGGTAAAATTCTAGTAGCCCGGGGAGAGCACCTCCTCGTCTTCGTCTTCCTCGTCGTCCTCGATCCCTGGCTCACCGAGAGCGTGAACAAATTCTGGAATTATGATATTCTCGGTTACATTTTCTCTTGCGTTAAGTTTTGTCTTGGGATATAGGTCAAGTCGACAGGTGAAAGTAGGTGTGTTGGTCGAAATCGCGTAGGAATTATGTCCGTTTATCGGTCTCGGTGCTTATGCGCGTTTCTTCACTCGCGCAACACGGGACTCGAAGCAAGAGGCGAAGAGGCGCGAGGCGATCGAAGGGATTTTTAGCCTTTGTTCTCGCCCCCTTCGCCGGACACTCTGCTCGTATCGTTCCAGTTTCACGGCCGAGGTCGCGAAACGATCGGTTCCACTTCTCGCCCTTGGCCCGCGGTAGCTCCTAACCGTAAAATGCCTTTCCGTTCTCCCTCGTTCCCGTTTCTTTTCATCTCTCGACTCGCCAGACGTCGATCAATCGCGGGTCAAACAGCCGGAAGGTTCACGACCGGAGAATCAGGTACGGAGGAAATTCTTCCCTTCTTCGGTCGTTCATATTTTTCTTCGATTATTAGAAACTCTCGGGGATGGGAATTGCGGAAGGGAAGTGTAAATGGCGGAACGGGAGCATAGAGCAGAGGCTTACCGTAGAAATCGATTCGTCCGTCCCCGTCCACATCCACTTCCTTGATCATGTCCTCGACTGAAACATAGCGAAACCGGCTTATATCTTGTATTTCATCCCAATTTACGAGGAAACGTACAGCTAGATATGCCGCAAAAATCGATTTATTTTTCTCCAGATATTTTTCCATTGGGTCAAGGATGGCGAACGCACCCAACTCTTTGAAGCGTTTCATGCCCTCTTTCCGCATATTTTCTCCATTACATAACTTTCACGTTTATAAATAAAGCACTTTCATACGGCAATTATTTATCAGTAGAACTCTCGTGAAACTTTTAACGCGTTTCCCTCGAAAAACAGCTCTGGTATCCACGAGTGACTCGTCAGCTATTCAACCAATTTGCTTCAAATTTTGAATATTTTAAATAGAGAACATTCCGTGCCCTAAAATTGGGATGTTCGTTCGAATGAATAGGAATATTAGAACCAAAAATGTTAGTATTTTCTCAAAAATGAATTCTAAACTGTCGTCAGATTTTAGGGCTTTCCAGGCGTATATAAATCTGTAATTTTTCTAACCAGGAAAAGAGCGCGATTACGGTTTGGCAGTTTTCCGCTTTCGCGCTTCTCTGTTCCCGTTTTTGAAATTTCACGACCGCGCAGCTTTTGCCGGAACGATTACGGAGTGGTTGGACAGACTGACGGAAGGTGGAAATTAATATCACCGCTATTACCGCGGCCCGTTCACCGGCATGGCAAATATTGCATTTGGCTTGATTAAAATCACCCATGGACGATCGTATGCTAATCGACGCGACGGGCGTGCAATTTAATTTTTAACTCGAGTCCCACGTTGTACCACCGGCGTTCGCGTTTCCGTTAAATCTGTCCGGCGAGATATCGCGTGCGGTATTAATATGCCGCGTTACACTCTTCTGGGATGAAAAGCGCATCGACAATTTTCCGGCGTGAAACCGATAACGGGTACAACCTGACAAGAGTAAAAAACAATCGGTTCGAGCGCGAACGAACGTTTTACGGTTTGTTGCGGAGTTACCTCGATAGAGACTTAAACAAGTAGTCATAAAGTGAGATATCACAGAATCCGAGCGTTAAAGAACAGAAGATAAACGCCATTATTTTCATAGTATCGTATTAAAAAATAGAGATTTGTTGAGAATATTGCGAAAGGAAGGAACTGTGATTCTTCACCAGTCCAACTTCGTCGTGGACGTTAATTTAGTATCAATTTCAATCGCGATTTCCAGGGTATTACGAAAGACCGCGCGAACACACGAACGATGGGATTTTCCTTATCGCGTATCTTCAGGCACACGGTTTGTTCTACACTCCTACGGTTAATTTATAAGTATTTTCTGTCGCGATTGCCACATTGTTAGCAACGAACTCGCGAACCCAGGAACGAATAAGTTATAGTCAGCGCGAACTTCTACAGTAACGACTAAATCCAACCCTTCCTCGTTGCAAATTTAGTACGGATAGTTTCGATCGAAATTATCGAGATGCCACCAAAGCACGTGTTTCCGATGCCACGATTTTCCGCACGAATTCTGCACTAACGAGCTCTCCGTTTCCACGGTTCCTGAATCTAGTGTTAATTCCAATCTCGATTGCCGGAGACTCGCAAAAGAACACGAAATAACTACTCGTGAAACGGGAGATTTCTACAAGATTTCCTCTGTCACTCGAAGGAAGAACGGATCTTCGGGTTTTAAACAATCCACGCGGATAATTACTACCTAATGGCAAGGAAAATCGTGAAATCGATTTTAAAACCCCAGCTTTCGTTCCTTCGATACTATCGAAAAAATACCACTCGACATCATTCGCGTCGTATGACAATCAGCAATTTCCGTCAAAAACGTTGCTAACCATTAACGTAATCAATTCGATACCCTCCGGCATTTATTAATACGAAGAGAAATATAATACAATGTGTACAGCACAAATCGATTCTGGTCAATTAGTAGTCTCGTCCCCGTGTATCAACGTATTATTGCGTGGGTCACTGTAGACGGAGTTCAATACAGGGTACTCAATTTACCGTCTCGCAGGAGAGGGTATGTATCGCGTGCTCATACGCAATTGCTATTAACGCAATTCTGGCAAATTTATACGGCCGCTCTCTCCGTGATCGCCGACGATGGAAGTTTCAAGAAGATTTCGTTGTTGTTTTGCATACCTGACGTTATTTTACCAGCTCGTTCGAGCGGGTTAACTTCATTACGCGGCTCATCCGACCGGCTTATCGAAGCGAGAAAAAACTCTCGTTACTTTGCGGAGTCAAGTATAGTTAAACCGATGCTTCGCGCGAAATTGAAACAGGAAAACGATCCCACCGTGTAAGTGAAATTTATCTCGACGCAACGCAGTGAAACGGATATACGACCGACGCAAAGGTTAGGAACAAAGTTTTGCGCACGATGGCTCAAAAGAGGAAGGGTTGACGATAACCTTTCGACTACGAAGGGCGTGTATATTCGTCCATAGAAAGTCAACATATATTTGTTTCGGTATAGGGAACACGATGATACTTGCATATAAAGTAAATCAATGAAAAAATCAATGACATCAAAAAATTGCAGAAACTGATACAACGTAAATAACGCGCGAACTTTTGGTTCATTCTAATATCTTCCGAACTGTCATCTCTAAATATTTTCCTCGCAGTTCACGATTCATATTCACTCTCGTATTTGCTATGCGTTTGTGTACGCGCTATATTTCCATTTTTCTAAATAACAAATCCTACCCGTAATCGAGTGGAATATACAAATAAATGAAAACAAACGTTTGCTCAACGAATCGTTTCAAATAACATCGTATTTCAAAAATATTGTTGTATGTTCTGTTTACGACTAAAAACGAAGAACGTAAAAATACTTGTATTTCAATACGTACTTTCCTCTTCGGAGAGGTCCTCTCCGAGACATTGTAGCACAGCTCTGAGATCGGATGCGGTAATGTAACCGCGATTGTGTTTGTCGAACACCTGAAAGCATACCAAAAACGGAGAAAAGCGGTTTAATTGTATTTTCTACAACCTTAACATCGTACATACATACATACTTTTTTGGACGTCGGTAGGTCGCGATGTTAGGTTCGAATCTCGTGTGATAATTTGATATCAAAGCTCAGGAATCCGAGAGTGACTTATCTTTTCGCGCAAAAAATCCGAGCCCTGCCTTAATAGAAAGAGGGTCACGAGCCGCACGAGCACAAATCATCGGCGAAATAGATTCTTTTATTTCGAGGTAAATGGAACGTCCGTGCGGAGAAAATAGCAGAAGACTCTTTCTTTCGAGGTTCGGAAAAGAGCGGGTTCTCTTTGAAGAAGTCGATTATCGCGGCGACGTGGTAACCGAGGCCTGCGAAAAAATGCCACCGCGGGAATAATAACGACGCTCGCGTCTATTATTTATCGCCCCGCGCTGCTTGCCTCGAAACGGTTGGACTTTCGCAGAAAATAGAATTGGAATTGATGCCGCTCTGGGGAACGCTCTCCGCGAGCTTTGACTCATTCGGATGGTCTGGCTTGATGCAACAACGGTTGCTATCCTCCTTCTCGATGCTGCTTGTTGGTTACGTCCAAATTAATGGGATTGTCAGGGCTAGAGAAACCAAGGGACGTTGCAAGGAATCTTGTCCAATATCTGTTCGCAATTGTCCGCTTGTTCATTTGGAACGGACTCCTTGTTGATGCGCGGAACGCTGAGTTTAGGAAGCAAACGGATGTACCGAACCGTTTCTCAGAAAATCACTTGCTCTTGAAAACTTTTGTTTGTAATCTTTTGATTTTCCGAAGAAGTTTCAAATAAGGTACAAAACTACAAAAGAATGCACACACATCCCTCTCACAGAGATGAAAGGCCGCGCGAAGAAGGATGCGAGCAGGAGCAATTGAGCCAACAAATCGCCTGGAATTGTTTGTCGCGTTTTCTATTGTACGCTCTCGGTTGGGCTTTACGTTTTCGTAAAATGTACCGATGTTTCTTCCGTTCGTTTTCCGCGAGAGAATCCATCGATTCCTCTTGTATTAGTGTAGACACGATAAACCACGCGACTAGTATTGTCTGTTATCAGCCACGATAACCGAAAAGACGGCAGCCACGAGAAAGGGGACGTGTTTTATTTCACGACTTGCATTTCTGTGAGACGAATGAGCAGCGGAATGGAGAAGAAGCACGTTGAGAGCTCGGATCAAAGATTGCGAAAGGCATGGTCGGATTTGCGAAGGGCTTATCGGATACCTGATAGTTGTTTAATCTTTCACTGTCCTGTTTCTTCAAGGGTTTAATTCGGATTCTTGAAATGGAAGTAAAAAATTCCACCATAGGTAGGAAAATTACTCCGAACTTCGAGCAGCCACGGACTCTGTTCCATTATCCGTCTTCGCGCGGCCATGGCATCGTTTAAAAAGGGCGTCGCTAATAGACGTGCCGAAGCATGTAAGCAATTAATCATCCTTAACCTTTACGGAGTAAATTTAATTGACTATTTGTCGAGCCATGCACGTTTCGAACGGTAATTATCGATACGAAGAAATTCATCGGTTGGCGAAATATGTTTGCGCCGTCGCAAAACGCTTGAAGAACCGAGTTCATTTCGAATATGCAGACGACAATTGTGTTAATTATGACGCTCGTGTTGTCCACTCGGCGTTCACGCAAGGGGATACGCTCAACGAAACAATGGAATAGTTAGAGAGCTAAATGATTTGGTAATTGCTTTAATGGTTGCCTGATTGCGATTTCCTACACTCGGCTCAGAATACGCTGAGATGGTGAGCGTCTGGGATTGTCGCGTCGAAACGCGTCTAGCGGAATTTTTACTGCGACTTTTCTGGAGTCTCTTTTTCCCATTTCCTTCGCTCCTCCGTCTCTTGCTACCGGAAACAGAGCTGGGCCACCGATTTCCACCGAGCGAAGAAACAGGAAAACGTAATCATTAAACTATGTATAATAGAAGAATCGTGGAATCCTGGGCTCCGCAAGGGGAATCGATTCGCGATCCGTGATCTGCGACAGCGTCATGCAGCGACAATATCATGTAATGGTTCCGTACTTGGATTAACGAAGAAAGTCCACGCACAGTTCCATTAAAGATAACACGCGCATCTGCGTACCGGAAGGATCACGCGCCTACCAAGTTGTTCAACTTTTCCTTCTACCGAACTTGTATCTTCGTTTAAAAAATGCTGTTACAGTTCGACCTAGTTTCTAGAATAACTTTTTATAGCACGGTTATTGTAGAAGATAAGAGAACAAAAATAGAACGTCAGCACCATAATACGAGTAAATGGTTCCGATCAAAATTATGTAATATCAGGTAAGTATTACCTAAGCGTTTCTAAGAGTTTCGCTCGTCTAATAACTAAGGATCATTCAAGATTGACGATCCCCAAACGAGAAGAGCCAGCACGTGCGCACGCGAGATAGCGTATTGATCGTTAAAAAACGATCGGAAAACAACACGGTATACGAAGCAATGAACGAGAACGAATAACGAGAAGCGATTAAATACATTTCACGAGGGAACAGAGAGTTGTGGAGCAACAGTATTTGTAATTTGTGATGTACATACAGCACGAGTTTCGTAATTACCCCAACCTCGCGAAATCTCTGCAGTCGGTTTACGGTATAGAACCGTTTAAATTCGTGAAAATAAACATTTCGCATAATTGGTTACGTTATCTTTCCGTTGCGCCTATTTGTCTACGAACAAATGCAACTGTTTGGTAATAAACATTAGGGGGACCGAGAAGTAATCAAAAGTTCCGTTCGTTCCTTTCAGTTGGCCTAGGGGCACGCTGACCCACCGTATTTGTGCTCCGCTACTCCAGAAACACGTCCTGAATTTTCAATTCGGCCGTTTACTACTGTATTATTTCTTTAACTCCCAGTTCGCGTTCTGAATCGTGGAATTCTTCCCTCGTGCTTTACTCTCATTATTCTGCTTACTATTCTCTTCCGTATACGATAAGCCAGACATAAAATTGTACGATTCGTTGGAGTGGTATGAAAGTATTCGTACCTCGGTACTTTTACGGTCCCTTCGGCCGTAATAGAAAATAATTTATTCGCAAAGCGCGACTAAACTTTGAATAGAATACAAAATTATGCAAATTACTCGGAATGTTGATAGATTCTCCAAGGCAAGAGGTGTGCTTAAATTTAAGCGGATTAACGTTCTGTAAGAGCTAGTCAAAATAGGTGCATCGTATGAATTGCGGTGAGAAAGTAAGACGCGCTGTCGTTGCGCACAAAAGATTATAGGAAACCAGCTAATACGTGCATTCCTTTCCAGCTAACTACGACAATTATAGCGTATTATAGAGTGACTGTAGCGCTGTCCAACTTCTGAATGTGCTCTTAATTATCTCGGTATGTTCACATCGGGCATACAATTCCGCGCAGCCTTGCGAATTGTGGTCGTATTTTTAACATTTATATTTTTCCGTTGGTAGCTTTTGTACACGCTCGAAGAATATATGCAGTGATAATACTCGGAGAAGAACAACGCAGCATGTTCTACATGAAAGAATAAACTTCCTACTCTACCCTTGTACATACTGTCCTGGGATTCCTACGCTATTTAAACGTTTTACTGTTTCGTGAATGATAAATGATGCCCGAGTACCCGTATCGTGATAAGAAATGCGTCCTCATACGGTTTTATATCGAAAAAGGACGAACGTAAGCAGAAAAGTTGAAGAGGACTAAACTTCTTCTTTCGCTGACATAATATCGAGCAATTTCCAAGCTTTCTTTTCTTTAAAACGCAGGTGTTCGATTAAGGTATGTTATTTTATTTACTGCAGAGGCATAGTAGTCTCTACCAATGCAACGATTGTTATTGTACTTTTTTTCGTAGTCCCTCTTCCGTCTTCATCCGTCTTTCTCTCACAAACGTAATAAATGCTACCAGCATTCCACTATATCTTTCACCGTTCCGTCCCCGTCTCCGAAAGATTTTCCTCGATTTCCATCGCTGATGCCCTCGGTCGTTCGTTTTCCTCCCTTTTTTTCCCGCGTTTTTCGCTTTTTTTTTCAACGGTGCTCGGCCACGATCCGGCTGCCGGCGCGCCAACCAGCCCGCGGAGATTAAAATATCGACTCGGTAACTGCGATACGTCGCGTCTGACCCGAATGCCGACCCGTTAAACTCTTTAAGCGCACGTCAGGCGATTTAAAGGGATCGAGGTGAAACTTTCGACGCGAGTGCTCGCTCGGCGAGGATCACAATGTCGCCAAATATAACGGATATTGAGCTTATGACGCCTTGTCTCCGCCCGTGAAAGCTTGCTCGACCGGTCGATCGTTATCGACCGTGTTATTTCACAGATTTTTCGTTTCCCATCGATTACTTTTATTTGGAACCTTCATTTGAATTCTGTTCCTCTAGCCACGATCTTTGGATTCTTTCCGAGAGGAAAAAAATGGTAGTCGATAGAAATAACTCCTGAAGGTAAACGGACCGTTACATATTTTTCTATTCGAGGTTGTTTAGGTTTGACCATGTCACATGTAAGCGTAGGCGAGTAGTCCCTCGCCTTGGGTCGCAATACCACGGTATGGCATGATTGGTATGCCTTTGTGGTAGGCCCACTTCGCTACAGGGAAGTTACCAAGTGGTAACTCCTGAAAGTGGGCCATCTGCCAGGAGGTGGATCCCAAGGATGTGAGAGGGTACACATAGGACAGCATCAACTCAAATCTGACACGAATTCTTGTTAATGAAACGATAGTATTCTTTAGACGATTTTTTTTACTTTCCTTGTCTAAGGGCCATCCTAGTGTACGAGGCAATCATTTCAGAATACAGCAGGAAATACTTTCGATGAAAGGAAAACGTGAAATGGAGCGACAAAAGTGTCTAGAAACGACGGAGCAGTGGAGTGCGTCAGCGCGCACCCGCGTAATGGCTTTGAAAATGAAAAGAAGAACGATAGGAAGAGTCGGTTAATAGAAAGGCATCGGAGAAAAAGCGCAC